GCGTCAGCCGACTCCCTCGTCATCATAATAAAAACATTCGCAACGGAAGGGACGAGAATTGTTCGGAATTCGAACAAAAACTCCGGCACAATGGAATATATCGTTTTCAGGGATAAATACGGAGAAACACTTTTCACCGCAACCCTCGCGGACTATCCTACAGAGAAAAAAAAAATGTCCCTCTCTCGAAACGTTCGCAACACCGTTTCTCATTACATTTCTCGTTGGGACACGCGCGCACGCGCGTACACGGGAAAGTTTCATTTGCCGAAAATAAAGGGCTCTCGAAATATTCAACCGAACTCGGACAAAAGATTCATTCGAAGCCAATTACAGACCTAATCCCCGGCAAAATAGCCGACGGGAAAGCAACCCCGCAGCGTATCTCGCCGAATTAATATAAATTGTGGTGCTTCGGCTGCAGATTTTCCCCTTCCCGTTCGCGCGGCGCGAGTTGTCGGCCATTCACGAGGGGCGAGCGCGACCTTTCCGAGGGATCGAGGCGCCGCGGAGCCTCGCAGGTGACGAAGACGGGGTTGGCGGGCCACTCAAGGTCGCCGGACGAAGAACACAAGGACCCGATGGCACGCGGGGGTGGGTCGAGTGGCGAAAGCGACGGCGGTCCCTTTCATGTCGTGTAATTAACTGCCGGGAACCGCTGCCGGCCCCTCATGTGCATCGAGTCCGGCTTTCTTAAGGCGACCCCGCGTTCTTCTGTTTACTTTTCAACCGCCCCCGCGCGTAATTTAAAGTTTAATTCGAGGGGACCGCACCGGAATGTAGCGCGACGCTAGGAGATTCGAGACAAAAAAGATAATACGGTCGACGGACCGCTCGAAGAGGCGGGAAAAAACCGGGAATTCCGTTTAATGGAATTTTCTTTTAATTTGTGGCCGAAGGTTCCTCCGAGCGCCGGCTGCCGCGGCGTACCCACCTTTGTCCCTGCGTCTTGGCGCACGCCGGAACGACTCTCTGTTACGGTTTAATTAAGCGATCCATTTTTGAATCGTTCGTTCCGTTCACCGCGCTCGCCCGTCCTCGCCTCGCCGCTGACTGCTTTGACCTGGGACGGTGGTCTTGACGGTTTTCGGCTGGGAAAGCTTCAGCTGTTGCGCGTGTTTAACGCGTCGTCTTGAACCCTTTGGGACCGGCGACAGATGACTCGGTACTGTCTTTCGATTAAAGCGTTAATTAGTAGCGGTTGAGTAATCGGATCGTTGCTATCTAGTTTTACTTACTTGGCGATGGGAGGGATCCATTGAACTATCCTCGGCGACCAGTGGGTACGAAAATATATCGTTGGTCCGCTTAATAATCGAATCTCATCTTCGATTAATTTGTTCGAAGCTGTTCACTTCTAGAAAAATCCCGTGTGCTCGCAACGGTGCAACATTTTTCACGCGGAACGGTTACAGCTATCTTGCTCTCAAGAGGGAAACATCGGAGCAGCGAGGGAGGGGCATGGATCAATTCCAGCAGAGCTGTTTCCCATTAACAATGCAGTTACAGCGATAATATTTTTCGTTTCAACACCGGAGCCCCGACCGCGGTACACGCTCGCCGGTGCTCGTGAAACGATAAAGACTCCGGAGGGTGCTTAGCGCGAATCAACAATTTTGCAGCGCATTTGTTTACGGGAACGCGGGCAGCTCGTAATATCGGGCTCCGCGCGGACGTCAAGTAAAAGCTTTGTCCATGAATTATTTTGCCGGCTAATTTCCCCGGTGGCGCATTGCTTGGATCCCCGCCTGAGGGACAGGCCGCGACTGTTTCGCCACCGACGTCAAACCGACTTTATCAGAGTTAAGCTCCGTCACGTTCGCAGAAAACAGTTGATCGTGATTAACCCTTTGGCCAACAGCCACCGCACACGTGCGAACCGCCGCTCCCTTTTTACAGTTTTGCGCAGGTGACGGAGATTCTGTTTCAATTTCCTTTGGGATTTAATGGCTGACATTTTATGTATTTTCGTTAGAGACGCTGCGTTATAGAATTTAAACAGCGAGGAATTACGAGTTGATTGTATATTATGTATTTAGCATACTCTCACCGTGGATGATCAATTTTATTTCAATACCTAACACGAACTACCGAGCAATTCAATTGACTTCTTAGAATTCCTCTATAGAAACTATATTTATTGAGACTTTAATTGAATCGTAATTCAGTTTGCGTGTCGTTAAATGAATTTCTTGAGTAATTCTCAGAGAAACAACTGTTATTTTAATAATTGCAAGAAGAGGAGCTCAGGAGTGAGTAATTTTGATGCGTCTGGTAATTCCAGTGTTAAACATTTTATCGGATTATACTGAAATTATGATGTAATTATGTAATGTATAAGTAGAAAATGTGCCTAAGTAGATTGCGCGATAATCTAATCGAATGAAATACATATAGAAAAATTTCGAATACTTTCGGACCGCAAAGAACGAGTAATAATGCACGAAGGTATACGTCATATTGCGTAGAATTTGGAAAATTTTCGATACGAGCTGTGAACAGCAACTTTTTCCGATGAAGGTGGCAGCGGAAGAATTAAAATTGCAATTCCGCATCGACGCGCGGGTATTTTGTGAAACCGGGAGCCAGTGTTTTGTAAACGAGTCGCGCTGAATCGGCATCCTCTGAAACGCCCAAGGATCGGCCGGCAATTCATCAAGCGGATTTCAATATCGTTTCAGTGTCGCGATCATGAAATAATTTATTGTTACCGCGGCACCGTATTTCCAGTTAATATGTATATTGAACCCGAAGTGGAAAAATTGATTCGATTCATAGCTAAATCGACTTTCGGATGTGCACGCGAAAACCGATTGCGGAATTCCGTGTACGCGCCGGGTAAAAACGTTTCGACATTCTATAAATATATTGCACGGAATTGTGAAATCAATGAGAGTGGTTTTTGTTTAATTGAATTCCGGCCGGTATCCATTGATCGTGATTTTCAAATGGAATGACCATAGTGGTCGGACCGAAATGTTTCTGTAAGGAACAAGTTGTGTTTATTAATCTTCGTCCCGAAAGAACGGTATTACCAGCAAGGGAATAATTTACAATATAAAGCACTAATTCAGAATGCCCTGATTTCGCCGACCTCGATTTTCCATTATGTCTCTGCCTGAATAATTTACGAGGACTCACCGTTTCATTTTAATCTCGTACCGATCGCCGACTACTCGTGAGATGCAACGCGAGTCGGTTGTTTAACTGCACCTCTACCTACGTGTGCAATCAAACGAGATTAAATAAATAACTGCCAAGGCCGGATTACGTAAAACAGAAGAAAAAGCGAATCCGAGTAAAAAGTAACAGACGGACCGGCCACCGTGGCAAACAATATTAAAAGCAGTGACCTGACAAGCGGACAATTAACGACACACTTATCCTCCCGTTATCGCGTCCAGGACATCGATTGCCTCTGATTGGTCTGTTTACATCGAGAGTATGCGGTGGCAGGTGGACTACAACGAGGCTGCTTATACACGTCACGTATTAAATTCATTTGCATTTGAAATGAGGCAATTATGCTCACCTTGGGGAACGAAATCGAAGAAAGTCTTCCTCTAACCCTGCTGCGCATTTCAATTCACCGAGGCATTCGAGGTGTCGTTGAAAAAAGACAGAAACGAGCAGACTGGTAAGAAATTTTTCATAATATTTTTCAATTCCAATTATTCTGGGCAAAATGGAGACGCGAGACACGGGGAAAAGTGTCTTTTAACCCTTTGCACCAAATGATTTCATACAGAAAACTATAAAATTTGATATTTAATATTATACTTCGTATAATGCAACAATTTCAGAAATATTGAAGTAAAATAGCTTTGTTTCTCAATGTACGTGTGACTTTTCGAGATAGTTTCACAAAATACCGTGTTTCTCTCATCAGAAAGTATTCAAATATTTTTAGAAAAACTTCCGAGTGCGAAGGGTTAAAGTGTTCTTGGATTCGTTGAATGTTGATACTATAATTATTAATATTAACACGTCGAACGCCGCACAATTTCATAGAGCAAAATACACAAAATGGAAAAAGTACAATATTAAATCGTTCGACTCAATTCGATTATTACCATTGGGGTCGGACTATTATTCGGAGCCACTCGTACGAACGTCCTATGATTTTTCCCGGAAACGGACGGATCCCAATGTGAAATGCAATTGTTTAACGTCGGTCTGGCACGAGGTTTGGCGACAGACAAATTTTTAACTAGAACGACACGCTCTTCCGAGGCAGCCGGACCGCTGACTACGGCCGAACGTCAAACACGCAAACGTTTGCTCATCCAACTCAGCCATCGGCTCTTTCCGCGAACGTAATATTGGACTAACAAAAATATTTAATCTTCGTGTCGCCGTGCGACGACGCGAAGGTGATTTGTCCTTTGACCGTGCATACGCGATAAGGCGGCTGCACTCTTCCGTCGTTGCGACGCACGGCGCGGCCGTCTGCGGACGGAATCCCAAAATTCGACTATTCGCGTAACGAAAATTCAAGAATCACCGAAGTGCCAAGTGCTCGCTAGGCAGTCTCTGCTGTGCAAAATGCTGTATTGAAAAATAATTTTCTGCAAATAAACTCCGTCTCTGTTTATACAACGTTGGAACGCAAAAGCAAAATATTCATTGTCATTGAGAAAACTTATATCTCCATAATGTAGACAAAAATCTAACCAACATATGTAGTTATATTTTTACCTCTATACCTTACAACTTTTGTTCGAAGCATTTCGTTGTATCACTCGTACTTCTCCAGTTATCGAGTTTCGCCCAGAAAACTGGAGTTTCGTCGCATTGACGGGCCGAATCACAGTTCGAAGGCTAGCATTGCTAGCTGATATCTCGTCGAAAACATTCTGCAGCCAAACGTTCGATATCTGTACCGAGATATCGAGCAGTAAACACTGCATTGAACTGTTTAGGACCTCGCTTTTCCTATTGACCCGTGAGAACAATTAATGATTCATCGAACAGCAACGAATTTATTTGAGAAACATCAACGTATAACCTCTTTTCTACTCCTTATATACCGAAGGCACTCAGTTCAAAGTGTGACTCCCGTTAATGCATTCACAGTCATTCGGAAACGTGTTTTTCCGGCTGGAAAACGTGAGAGAACACTGCAAAGCGCCGGAAGAGTCAGGTGAAGAACACACTCGGCGTGATTTCCTTGGAATATCAATGATCCTTCTATTTCTTACTTTCGAGTTACAAAATACCAAGCGCGATAGTAAAAAAGAATGGCGATTTATACAAGTACCTTAACGTTAAATGCCGGCGTGAACGTCGAGCGCGATTTACGCTGCGCGCGCGGACCTTCGCGAGGCATTACGGATATGTAACATTGCACTTACGAGTCGCAGGATTGCACGCTCGCGCGCATTGTGTTCGGGGCGAGGACAAAAGGAGGGAGCAATCATGCTCTAATTATACTTGCGATTGCGTCGACGCGGAGGGAATTGCACCGTGATAACGCTTACTCTAGATTCAGTCCGGATCGGGAATAGAGGGAAGCGTCGCCCGGATTTCGGGGGATCGATGCCCGGCTAACGTCTCCAGAGGCTTTTTTCCATGACGAACCTCACCAGCAGCGACAGAACCATCAGGAAGATGATGACGGCGGCGGCGGCGAGAATGGCGCCGTACTCTGTTAACAGATATTCAAATTTGTCCGTGTTTATTTCGGTCCGCGCGGCTGGAAGCACTCCCGACGTCCTCCAAGTTTCGAGAAATTGCTAAATAATTCGATTACGCGGCGCGTCGAATGAAACACAATTAATCGAGGCTTCGACGCGCGTACTCGAGTAACTTTTACGAAAGTACGAGTCAATTTCAGATCGATAATTCTGGCGTTAAGAGGAAAATAATATGTACGAATCAGGTGGGAAGCAATAAATCGTTGAAAGTGCCTCTGAATCGTATATATCGTATTTTATTGGGACGATAATTAATCATAAGCACGCGATGAAAGGATCACTGGTTTACAGGCGAATATTCTCAACAGGATCTCCGTGTTGCATTTTTAATTCACCGCGCGGCGTTTAAAACGGGACGGCTCGAAGCTTTTTTTATTTCGAATCGATTACAGCGGAAGGAGTAACGTTTGTTCGCCGTGTACGTCGGGTAACGAATTTAATTTCGTATTGAAACAGAGATAAT